CCACCTTGTTGCTCATAGTACCTGACAGCTGCCATGATGCTGCTTATCGTCGGCATTATGACACCAGTCAAGCCTTCCTTATAGACCGGCATTTGGATGGTGATATGTGGCAGTTCGAGGTTGGGATATCTTCCGGGCTTGGGTGCAACCGCCGAGTAGTACTTGCTGTTTTCTTTCAGAGTGGACAACGGACCGAAGATTTGCCAGAGTGATCCGCAAATGACAATCATGAAGAATAGGGAGAATGTTGCAAACAAAGGCACTGTAGCCACCAGGGCAAACCTGATCATGTTGCCGTCGAGCTTGACTTCGCGTATCATTTGGGAAATGCAAGCCATTTCCACTATTACCACCAGAACAATTGAAGCCCCTACCATTAGGGCATGGTTCAACAATATCTTGCGCTCCGGCGCTTCCTGGCTCTCCTTGTCTGGATCGAAAATTTTGTCACCCTGCTCCTCCTTCTCGACCGCGGTCTGAATGATATTAAGCTTTTCGACAACAGACTCGTCGTGGAGTGCGGTCTCTGACAGATACGGCAATAGTTGTTCACTAATGACCCGCCCTTTTGTCAATCGACCGAGTTGGGAATCTCGCGACCTCTCAAAGCTCCCGTTGTGACTCCCCGAGTAGTGGTTGGGATTAGGGTACCCCCAGAGGTAACCAAAGATGAGATCCTCAAGCTCTCCTCCTCGTTTTAGGAGATCCTTGGATTGTTCGGTGCAAATAAGAAGGACTCTCTCCTTCTTACAAAGGAACACGAGACCGTCGGTACGAGGGCCAAAATCTTGCGCAAGGATCTGGGCGACATTGTTGAGAATTCGCAGAGGTCTCGACTTGCTGAGTAATATTTCTCCGTTCGTCACAACTGTTTGTTCGAGGAGTGCCGTGGCTACACCTGGTCTCATTGTGACTGCGAAGTTCGCCCGTAGATGTTTTACCGCTTCAATGATTGTGATGTTCAAGGTTTGTGGCTCGCTGGTGTAAGATCCATCTTCCGACTTTAGGACGACGCCGCAGCTCTCGGTATCGATTTCTCCATTAAAATCTTCGCTGTCGTCTTCGAACCATCTTTGCTGGACACACTTCTTGTAGAGGTAGCTTGCAAGCTTGGTATATCAGTAGCAGATTCCTCATCTAAGAAGATCTTACTCACAACGTCGACCTTGAGTTTTGAACCTCTAAGCGATATATCTGAGCAGGAGCTCATTCTCGTGAATGGCCTTTGAGGTGAAGAAGGTAGAGGACTCCCAAACAGTTCGAATTTGGCTTGAGTGAAGTTCTGCATGTTGGTATTGGAACAGCTTGCCTTCCCCGACCGTTTGATCCGTCAAGGTTGGAAGATGTCGAACTTCCTGTGCTCCGGATACTCAACACAAAACGGAGCCAGAACTAACTGCAATATATCAAGGCAAACTTTGCTCCACCATCTACAAGATGATGGTGATGAAATTGGTGCATGTGAAAGCGGAAACTCGTCATCACCCCTGTCCGAAATGGCTACCATAATAAGAACGCCACCCAAACGCACTGCCTTGTATCATGGCTTAAAGTGGCGGACAAACAATCAAAACACGACAGGGAATGTCTCCATCAGCTGTATATTTCGGTGGGGTGTCTTTAGTCAAGCCCAGGTAAGGTGTTTGTGTAGAAGCTGGTTGACTGAGATTGCCAGAGACGCCGCACTTACCGGGCAGTCACGATTCCAGCCGGTTTGGAGGTTTTGTCTCACTAAGAGCCGATATCCCCCCTGGCCAAGCTATTAATCGGGTGGCTACTACCTTGGCTTCAGACCTGGTGAAGGGAAAGTTGAACGACGAGTCTCCAGCGAAAGAGGTACATGGCTGAGCAGTAACTAGGCTCCATTCTCTGCAAATGGTCAGGGAAGATCAGGCTTCTTCAAGGTGCCAAAGGCGTAATTTTCGAATGCAGGGCCACCTCGGCAGTTCAACGGCGGTGCTTCAAGTAGCGGTGGCTACACTGTAATCTTGGAGATGTTGATTAGCGCATGTGGTAGAAAGTGACCTCTAACCCCGCTATGATTGGGCCAACATGACGCAACAGTATGGACCCCGGCACCCGCGGGATGCTCGCCTATCAAGCTGAGTGGGCACCCACACCACTCCCCAGCACGTGCGGCGCCCACTCTGGGCGAGGTTTTACACATGTTTGACAGCTAGGCGGACCGATACGCAGCCTAGAACCGGCCAAGCGCCACGTGTGTGATGGGTCCCATGTAAATGTTATCTCGAGGTGAACAGCGAATATGCAAACCAACCCCATCCTGCAACTTATGTAACTACCAAACGCATCAACCTCTGGTCTTTCTGTCTTCCCTCGTTGGTGGCGTCATGCCCTGAGCGTCTCCATGCCATACAGGGGTTGAATTCAAAACCTTCGACACTACACCTCTCTCAGGCTCCGTCTATTTGTGCTTTGCCAGGATTCTTCGCCAAATTGAGAATCTCCTTTATGGTAAACCCACCACAACCGATTACGATGGATATATTTAACTCCTTTACCAGGGTCAAGAACGCCCGACTCACAGATACTGCTGAATCTAGTTATTCGACCATCGCCCTTCACTGTTCTTGAATCTTGATTCGACCTGGAGATTTGTACCGGAAAATAGGACTCGAGGACCAAATTTTCTAGCAGCCATGTTTCAGTGGAATGCTCCACGATGCAATACTATTTCAGTTGTCGGGGATCTATTGTTTTTCGAGTTTCCATGGTGGAAATTTGCGAAATTTCCGTAAGGATTGCTATCTTTACATTTCTTCATTGTTGCATCCCCGCGGTGGAAATGAGCTCTCCAAGATCCATATCACCTTTCTTTGTGACCGGTCCTCTCTCTTAGCCGCCGCATTTTCGTTGTATTCTTTGTGTGCTACTTGAGATTTTCCTTTCTCAAGCGCATACTATCCTTCAACGCCATTATGAGCGCTGCGATCTCTCGATGTAGTTCCTTTTCTTCTCGGTCCAACCCTTTTACTGCATCCAAGAATGAGATTCACGCCCCGAGCAATGGGGTCCAAACACCGCATTCAAATGAGGATTCAATACCAAGTCCATCTCTCCCGATACGCAAGCGCAAGTTCAGGTCGGCTCGATTTCTTGGACCAGAATATCCAAAACCTTGGACGGGCCAGCGTGATCGACGTCAGACATGGGAGAAAGTCATATTCTGGACGTCTATAGTCCTAGGGGTGTTGATCGGCGCTGTTATTTGCCTTTTTCAATACAAGTCCGTGTCGAATTTCGAGTATTGCTTGATTCTCGAAGATGAATTCAAAACCATCGACAAGAAGATATGGAACTACGAAATACAACGTGGGGGTTTCGGGACAGGCTCATTTGACTGGACCACGGAAGATTCAAAGAATGCCTATGTGGATGCGGAAGGCTTGCATATCGTACCAACCCTCACCACCGAAAGCACCGACATCACTTCGGCTCAGCTCAACGACAACTACGTGCTGAACTTGACAACAGCGGGTACCTGCACGTCCGTCTCTGGCGACGAATCGGATTGCTCTATCCGCAGCAACGTCACCTCTGGGGCAATCATCAATCCAGTCCGAAGTGCACGCCTCAACACACAAGGCCATAGGACCATCACCTACGGTCGAGTGGAGGTCGTTGCCAAAGCTCCAGCTGGGAATTGGCTTTGGCCAGCAATATGGATGATGCCGGAGCCCCAGGGTCCACACGGTGCCGGTGCTTATGGTCCTTGGCCTGCAAGTGGAGAGATTGACATTGCAGAGCTCCGCGGCAACCCTGGCGCCAGCTACCCTGATGGGAGGGATAGTGTCTCAAGCACGTTGCATTGGGGCCCGGTTGCTGCTGCAGATGCGTTTTGGAGAACCTCCGGCAAGCACAATTTACGCCGCACAGACTATGCCGCAACTTTTCACACTTATGGGCTGGAGTGGTCAGAGAAATATTTGTTCATGTATGTGGACACTCGACTTGTGGTAAGCTATGGGCTCCAACCTTGACTCGACTGATATCTAACTCTTTTACAGCAAGTGATGTTCACCAAATTCGACAGATACAAGAGCATGTGGGACCACGGCAAGTTCGGCTCTTCTCTTGTAAACAACTCCGCTCTTAATGATCCATGGTCCCAGACTGGGCGGCCGCAAACTCCCTTTGATCAGCCATTCTACCTGATTCTCAACGTTGCTGTTGGAAGTACCAATGGATTTTTCAAGGATGGTATCGCAAACAAACCTTGGGGAGACAAGAGCTTGACAGCCCCACGAGAGTTTTGGGAGGCAAGAGATCAGTGGCTACCGACTTGGGGAGAGGGGGGAAAACGAGGCTTGACGGTTCGATCCGTTAGAATGTGGCAGGAGGGTGCTTGCAAAGCCTAACTTGTGGGATAGATTTGTGAGAAGTAGGCTCTTATTTTTGAATTGGTTGAGTAAGAGAAATAAAGATTTGCAATTGCTTCAATGTTCTATTGACAAATGATATTATTCTTGGCCTTCACGCTCGGGCTTATCAAAGACGGTAAGAAGCTCACATACTGAAGCAGGCTCATATCATAAGAATTTGAATGACACGGAGCAGGTCAGTGGGCAGATGGGACAGCCTAGTAAGGCACTTTTATTATCAATCTCTCTTAGCTTTGAGAACTTGATTGATCTAATTTGCTTCTTCAGGCTTTATCAATCTCTATTACGGTCATCGTGCCATTCGATCGTTCGCAGCGTGTCAGGACAGTGCCTCGATTCCATCCCTTTCAGCAAAAAGACGGGATATCTCGCGAATTCTTGGCGAATATTAGGCACCATAGTAGATAAAGGTCTCTGTCAGCCATGACATTATGTCCCTGAGCTATGCCCCCTCGATACTGAATACTTTTACGAAAGCTCCGTAAGCCGGTAACATGGGCATCTCGTAGACCTCATGCAATCTTGAATCTCATAATGTTCTGGTACCGTTCTCCCTTCTCTTACATTAACCAAAGGATTCACTATGGTTCGTGCCCCTCAAAGCCTGTGCTGATCAAAATCGAACCCAAAATCGTCCAACCCGACGCTCCAAGATCCCCAAAGATCCATTTCCTGATCTTCTATAGCTGTCATTGCAACCAACGGTTCCCCAGCGGAATTTTGAAGACGATACTTCATCTCCGGGGCCGGTGGTAGCGGATCGCGCCCAATCAGCCGCATCTTCTGCGTATCGACAAGGTCCCCTATGGCGTTCTTGCGCTCAAGGGTTGCCTTCGCCTGCATGCGCGCAAAAGTATCCCACAAGATCGATGCACCAAGACGATTCGTCACGGTGAGCTCCGTCAATGACCAGTGGCCACTGGCAGCGCCTAAGGTCTGCGCATTTTCGACGAGCTTACCGATCAGCCTTGCGGCCCTCGCGAGGCTGCGATGGTAGGGCAAAACTTGTAGGATCGATCGCGCGTCGATCATGCCCTGGATGGCGCGTTCTGTGTGAGCAGGGCTCAGTGGCTTGAGACAGACAAAGATACGGAAGAGGAAGATTGCGGAGAAGAACAGGCTGGAGAACAAGTGGATGGGAACGAATGGGAGCTTGCCAGCGGGAGGTTGGTCCTCGGAGCCTTGTATAGAGGCTATGTTCTTCATATAGTGTATGACTGTCGTCGCTGATTCTAGCCCGCGTAGGAACACTGTCTCTCTGTTGATGAGATTTTGACCATCCGCTTGAGAATCCACTTGTAAATGTAACAAGGCGGATGTTGCGTAAAGATTCAATTTGGCCATATGTAGCTGAATACCAAGCTCGGAGGTCCACTGAGTCAAGAACGTTTGCTTGATACTATCAAGGGAGCTGTCGAACGTGTTTGTGAGAGATAGATGTGCTATTGGATCCTTCACATCCTCAAGAGATATAGTGTAGTTGCACACGATTTCGCAGATGGCAAAGCAAGCTTGATTTTCTTGCGACAAGCGGTGCTTAAGTTGATCAATGGCCTTCCTTACATGCTTGAGCTGGTGGAACGATGAAATAGGAGGTACAAAGCCACGGAAGATGGCTATCCTACTCGCAGACTCAGCATCGGTCAAAAGAACAAGGTAGAGGAACGTACTGGGTCCCGACACTGAAACAAGCTAACCAAGTCAGACATTGTGTCTGGGCATCAACGATTCCAGACAGGTCTGTCCCTTTAGGGGCAGTCTGTTTCTGCGCCAGCGGCGTATGGCAATTCAGGACCATGCAACTGTTGACTGCGATGCCGATATAGGCCCATGATGGATCGTGCAAGATCCGCCGCTTCGGAATAGGCCAAATGCATAGAAGTAAGATGGCATGGACATCCTCCAATGATCGGATGGCTGTATTGGAAAGAGGCACCAGTAAATCTTGGTGAGAGACGAATAGGTTTTGATATAAATGGCTGTACTTGTCATGATGCTGAGAGGCCATCAAGATCATCGTCCAGAATAGTAGTGGCGAGTCCATAACGAATCGAGCGAGTGATTTTATGGGCCTTATAAAGGTTGCATAGGGGAAATAATATCTCTCAAAGCTTAGAAATAGATCAGTATCCGTAGCTGCGAGACATTTACGAACATGAATAGCATACTGCTGGAGTAATTCAACTGCGGCCCCTGGAGGGATGGAAACACTCCGCAGCTCAAAGTTGGGCAAAGGTTCCACTTCCAGGTCAGCCGACAGTGCAAACGCGGAGCGAGCTCCTGACGGAGCCGTTGACAGAAGGTTTGATGGCAAAGGACTCTCGTCGGCGAGATTCTGCGAATCTCGCACCATATGGATCTCCTTTACAATGTCTCGGGTGAGTCTAAATTGTCTCGATGAGTATTCGCAGTAAAGCCGGTCGAAGAGGGGTCCACCGTACCGCCTAGTTGATACCCTCTTGAAGTTCTTCGCAAAGCTGCAGTCCAAGTCGTTCCTGGTGCATCTCGAGCACGGATTTGGAGCCGTCAGACGAGCATCACATGCTATCTTAGCTTGCCGGCAGGCTGTACAAGATCTGGGCTTTCCGACCATATTGTCTAATTCTCCAGTTCTCTGTTTACAAAATTTGCAATCATATTGAGGAGGAATTGAAAAGGTCAACATCCGCCTTAGATATGAAGTTGCGGTTTTCGCAATTTGAGCACCATAAGCCAATTACGCTAAGGCGCGAGCGATTATGCGTAAACCTAGTAGTCAGAACGCTTTCCTATATGCAGTAGGTCTCGCGAGCGAAAGTGCACGCAAGCTTATCCACGTTGCTTTGGATAGCTTCGTGATCTAGAAACTTTGTATAGTAATTTTGTCAATTTCAAACGACTGGACTGTTGAGTAGATTGCGGTATCTATCCGGTATTTGGCGGTATGTGTTGGCATCCCTTCCTTTCGCTCTCTGGCTCCCATCCCCAGCATCTTGCGGAAGTCGCACTTTACTGTCTACCACTGGGAAACAATGACGCGGCTGTGTTGAAAGTCTTGGCTATTGCTAGGATGGTGCTACTAGAGATGTACAATCGAGACATATAAAGGTGACACTGGAAGTGATATATTTACCTTAGCAGGAAAGTTTTGATGTCAAGCCAAAATGAAATGTTTTTTACTAGTCAGCGCAGCGATCTTGAGAGCTTCCTTGACATTTGCTCGTCCTTCATCTCCCGTAAATCATTTCTTCACTTGGAACCCTCCTGGACCACACGATGGTATGTTTGAGCTCAGAAAGAGTAGTACATTGATTGGGAATACTGAATTTTTCAGTTCGTGGACCTTGCCCTATGCTCAATACTTTAGCAAACCATGGCTTTCTACCACACAGCGGCAAAAGCATCACTGAACAAGATACAGTTAATGGCTTGAACACAGCTCTGAATGTCGATCGAAAACTTGGTGTTTTTTTATTTCAACACGCGATTAGCACCAATCCAGCCCCAAATGCCACTGACTTTTCGCTCAACGACCTCAGCCGCCACAATATCTTGGAACATGATGCAAGCTTGAGGTGCGATGGCATTTCACTCCATCTCCTTAATTCTTCCCAAGATACTTTTCGTTTTCTATTGAAACTTCAAAATATGATCTACTAACTGGCTATGCACGTTATAGTCGCGGAGATTACTATTTCGGGGACGACCATACATTCAACCAAACGATCTTTGACCAAACGAAGTCCTACTGGACTGTTCCAATTATTGATATTGAAATAGCAGCCAAAGCTCGTCTAGCCCGTGTGAACACCTCCAAAGCTACTAACCCCGCTTTCAACCTCACCACAATTGGTACGCTATTTAGCTTCGGAGAGACTGCTGCCTATATCACCGCCCTCGGCGACAGAGTGACTGGGACGGTGAGGAGAGCCTGGGTGGAGTATCTATTTGGTAAGGACTAAGTTATAGTCTAAGGGCTAGTTTGACTGCGCAGCTAGAAACTAACACACCATCGCGATAGAGCACGAGCACCTACCACTTGAGTTAGGGTGGTCCAAACGGAAAAACCCAATATCGAAACAGGATCTGAATAGAATGCTTAAGCGAGTTGTCAATGCGACGGGAAGCTCATCAGAAGATGCTTCTGTATTGATAAGGCGAGGTGGGTTTCACGGCGGCGTTTGGCATTGATGAGATATCAATACATAAGTGCCGATACATTGACGAAAGCCCAAAAGGTATTTGAGAGCTACGGGCAACTCTACAGAAGTGATATTCCATGGAAATCGATCCCGCTCTGGCACTTAAGATGCATGTGAAGGTGGAACATGGTCTAGAGCGGAATGGAGTTGACTAAGGACTATCTCGATTTCAAATGGGTAGACTTTACCCAAAATGCCGAACAATGCCGTGGAATTATGGATTGCAAGGGGGCCGAAGTAGAGCCCCAAGACGGATCGGAGAATGCCACCGCGGATGTACTTAATGCCCGGCAAAACAGATGTGCCTTGAGAACTCGTGAACTGCAAATTATCAATATATATTAAGGACTAATTGTGCTTGGATTCAGATTTTTACTATCGCGAGTTCCCTCTCCTAAAGTTCGTAACGACTCATTCGGTCTGGAAGACCAAATGGCGGATAAGATGGCTAGCTCTAAACTCTTCCAGCCTCTTAAAATTGGCTCAATGGCTCTCGGGCATCGTATTATGATGGCGCCGCTCACTCGCTATCGTGCATTGGACGACCACGTTCCGATGGCGATTGTAGCTGACTATTATGCACAACGAGCGCGGTCTTTGCCGGGGACTCTCATAATTACAGAAGCTTCACTTATTTCTCCCAGGGCAGGAGGCTACGCCAACGTCCCAGGAATATGGTCAAAGGACCAGATCAATTCGTGGGCGAAGGTTGTCAAAGCTATACATGACGCCGGGGGATATGCCATCTGCCAGTTGTGGGCCATGGGTCGCGCAGCCAAAGCCGAAGTTCTCACTACAGAACCCGACGGTCCATTCGACGTTGTTAGCAGCTCTAACATGCCTATCGACGCATCCTCCTCTATTCCTCGTGCATTGTCTATCGAGGAAATTCAAGGTTTCATCCAAGACTATGCCCAAGCAGCCCGAAATGCTATCACGGCCGGCTTCGACGGAGTTGAAATTCACATGGCGAACGGTTATCTCATTGATCAGTTCACACAGGACACTTGCAACAACCGTACTGACCAATACGGTGGCTCAGTGGAGAATAGGGCTCGTTTTGGACTGGAGGTAGCGAAGGCAGTACTGGAAGCTATCGGAGCTTCTCGTGTAGGCTTCCGGCTGAGTCCTTGGAGCCCGTTTCAAGGGATGAGAATGGTCGACAACAGCAGATTGGAAGAGCAGTTTACCTACTTGATTAAAGAACTCAGAAACTTGGACCTCGCGTTCATGCACCTCGTCGAGCCCAGGATCGGAGGCGACCAGGATATCAATCTCAAGGACGCAGAATCTTTGGAATTTGCATTTGATGCCTGGGGCTCGACGACTAATGCGCCGATCTTAGTCGCTGGAGGCTACAACGCCAGCACTGCACGACAAGCTTTGGACGAGAATCGAATATATCGCGATAAAGATGTTGCTGTGGTGTTTGGAAGATGGTTCATTAGTAACCCCGACCTTCCCTTCCGCATCCAGAAGAATATTCCCTTCGCCAAGTATGATCGAACAACTTTCTACACGCCAAAACAAGAAGAAGGTTATAACGACTACCCATTTAGCCTAGAGTACTTGAAAACTTTAGTATAGTATATTAAATTATATTACTTGAGAATTTAAGAATCCTACTAATGTGCTCAATAGTACCCATCGAAGGATACTAAGATTTTTTATACAATAGGTACTTATGATGGGTTGAACCCAGGAGAAGGCTCGGTTCTGGCGAACCAGCGCTAAGACTAACGCCAGGAAATACTGCCTCCTAATTAGTCAAGATTTACCTATATAATATATAGGCGAAATACTACCTCCTAATTAGTTAAGACGCATACGGTATAAGGGATATAAAGTCCTAATAGCTAAAACACCGTACGTAAGGGAAGATAAGGAGTTAGAATAAGTACGTAAGGGAAGATAAGGAGCTAGAATAAGTACGTAAGGAAAGGAGTAAGGAGGTGAGGATAATAGTTACCTCCTTATAACGCGTTAGAGGATATAAGGAGAAAGGAAGGATAACTATTCCTTCCTTCTCTCTCCTTAGATTTATCCTCCTTATTACTAAGTTAGCTAACTAGTTATAGAACTCTTTCTAAACCCTTATATTAGGATAAATCTCTTATTTCTCGTACCTCCCCTATACGTATCGATAATAGAAATAGATTCGTTATCTATATTAGGTCTAACTCTACCCCCGGAGTAGATAGCGTAGTTATATTAGATAGTTTAGATATAGAACTAGCGAATAGAAGGTCTAGAGTAGCTACTCTAGAACTAGTAAAATAGCGGGAGTACCTCTATTCCTAAGTTAACATTATAGGAGAATAGTAACGTACGGGAACTAATGGCCGTACGCGAATTATTAGATTAGAAATATTGGAAACTCCCTAAACTCTCTAAGTTTAGCGGAAAGCGGATAGAATTTTAACTATAGCTTACGTAGGTAAAGGCGAAGCTTAGTATTAATAAGGATAAGGATACTAAGATTATACGATTTTAGTATATATATAGTAGACTACGAGGAGAAGCTCTTACGTAAGTTAGCGCCTAAGTAGACGTAGTCACTTTAATAGACTAGATAACGGTTTAAGGTCTTTTTACGTAACTATAGGTAGTATATGAAGACTATAAAGTCGCTAAGCGAGTATCTTAGAAACTTAGCTTTATGCGGTAAGGGATAAAGACATTTAGTACGTTCCTTACTGAATTCGACCGTACAATACTAGACGTTAGCGGTCTTAGCTGGGATAACTAGGTTAAGAAGACCTTCCTAGCTAACTATCTATTATACGAGCTATAGAATACGATTATGGTAACCCCTATCCCTATCTAAGAGGACCTGGGAATGCTAGTAGGATTCCTACTAAGGCGGCAGGAATGGACCAATTAGGTCGTCAGGATGTGGAGATCTCTATAGGATTACTCTCTAGGTTTACTTTCTTCTGCATCCGCGCCGGGGAGTTAGATGACGGCAATAATAGTATCGCTAGATTACTGTTACGAGCTGCTATATGATACGTGAGGTGTCCACAGGCAAACCCGCGGTGGTTTACTTAGTGATATAGTAGGGAGGGACGCTATAGCTAAGACTGGAAACTAAGTATATAGTATATAGACCTATACGTATAGTAGATGATCGTGAGAAACTCGATTCTCTATAACTATTATTAACTACGAGGAGAACTATGTAGCTAAGTACGGCTATATACTATTTAGGATACATATTTAATATGTTACTCTATTAGATATATTAAATATATTAATATATTTCTAAGCCTATCTAGGTATATTACTCTATTACTCCGCTAGGTTATACTAATATATTTACTAAGACACTAACGTCTGACATATTCTCCTCAGTCGACCTTCCTCCTTATCTTTCCCCTTAGTCTCCTATATAGTCAGTTTATAATACCTTCTCCTCCTTTAATATATGCATTACCCTTAACGTACTTAAGGTAAGCGTATCCCTTTCCTTCTACCTTCTACTTTCTCCTTATGACTAATTATACTAAAGGTTCCAAAACCCTCTCGATCCCGATAATATCGTAACTTAAGTAACGCTATTATAAAGCTTAGCTCCTACGCTCCTAATCCCTACTCTAAGTGTACTAAGTTACACTCTATCTACATTATTCGTTAGGGCTATTTAAAGTATAGTCTCTATACTAAAAAGAATATAATCTACTATAATTACTTTTCTAAGGCCGAGTTTAACCGACTCGAAAATAAGAAGTAGGAGTTAGTTTAGTAAGGTTAGGAGGCCTAAAATTTAATATTAGCCTTAACTAAGTAATTATTAGAAACTTAGTAGCGTATCGCTAATATAAATAAAAGAGTAGATATCCTAACAAAGCGTTAGGAGGATATAGTAGATTATAAGGTAGCGGCCCTAGGCCTACTTAATAATAATAATAGTGCGGATATAGTAGTAATAGACATAGATCTCTTTATTTAGGATAATCCGGCTTTTAACGTAATTATTTTTTCTAATCCGTCCCTCCCTTTTCCTGAGTTTAGGGATACAGGATAACTCTCTAAGTTATCTAGTCGATGATTCTTTAGTACTATTATTCTTTATTCCGGTCCTTAGGCTCGATTCTAGATAATCTAATATAGTACTAGTAGTATTTAATAATAAGTATCTTAGGTATATTTTCCCTTAGTTCCTAGGTATTAGGTTCTATTATTAACTAATGTACTAGGTATCGCGTCGGTACTAGGAATCCTTAATAGGCTAATATCTTTTTTAGCTTCATTTCTTACATCCCGTAGAGTCCTATATTAGTTATTTCTCGCCGGCGTTTAGTATTAGTCTTATTTTCTGATTCAGGTTCTTTTAGAATAATAGATCGCGTACCTATTCTTTAATAGTATTCCTTCTTTACTCTAGATAGTAAGTTATCGCTATATTCCTACGTATTCTCTAAATCGTTATATCTTAACTACTTAATTAGATATATATCGATATACTTAATAGCTTCTAATCTAGGGCTAAAGTTAACTAATCTTTTAATCTTATACTTTAGTTCTCCTATTTCCTTATCGATCTCTACTAGTCCTAGTTTTGCATTTAGATCTCTATATAGTTCTAGTAGAGATTTATAGAATACTAGGTATATTTCTAGTATCTTTAGGAGATCTAGTTTATATATAACTAGTCCTAGCTTCTTTTTAATGTAATATAGTCTAATTTTAGTATAATCTAGTTTATCGCTTAATTATTTTATTTTAATGTTTTTTCTTCTTATATAGACTATCCCTCCCTCTTTAAGGTCTAGTCCTTTAGATCTTCTTTTATTTTCTCTTTCTACTATTTTTTCCGATATTTTCTATAACTCCTTTTATATTATATTATATAGTTCTTTTATTTTATCGATCTCTATCCTTACTTCTTCTAATATTAGTTTCTTAAGTTTTAGTATTTTAAATATATTTAGATAGTATCTATATATTACGTAAAATAGTAATATTCCTATTACGGCAGTACTATTATTAAATGTTATTTATACTATTAATAGTAGTTATACCTAATTATCTTACTAATAGTTAACGTAGTATCGTAAATATTATTCTAGTATTTAGTTTATTCTTTCCGTTTAACTATCTATCTATAGGTAGTATACCGTTAATAACTTCGTATCTATTCCTAAGAGGTCTATTAAGGATTACTAAAACTATAATATGAAAAGTTTATCTCTATCTAAGATTATTTCATTTAGTATCCCGTATTATAATATAACTATTCTAATAAATAAGTAGGCTAAATCTTTTACTATCGCTTTCTCAGTAAATAGTAGTATATATATATATTTTGTTAGCCTTTCGATAACTATTATAATACTATTATACTCTTTACTCGTGAGGGATTCTTAAGATATTAGTAGTTTTATAATAAAGTTAATTATAATAGAGTCCTATAGTTTATTTAGTATTTATAGTACTATAAGTAATCCGTATAGTTTATATCGTTCTTTCTTTATTTTCTTATAGGTATTGTATTTTCCGATATATTCTTCGATATCTTTTCTAAGTCCTTTCTATAAAAAGTCTTATATAATTAGTTCGATCGTTTTTACGATTCTAGAGTATTCTATAAGTTAGCTATTATATCTTTCTCTTATAATATTTTATTTTTATCTTTCGGTGAGTTCGATATCTATAATTACTAGATTATAGTCGTATCCTCTATATTATAGTATCTATCTATTAGTCTTAAGTAATATATTAGGTTCGGGTCTTATTATCCCTATATAATCTAGTCTTCTACTTAACGTATCTACTTAACTATTTTTAGTTCCTTTAATATAGTAGATTCTAAAGTTATATCTTATTAAGGTTTCTACCTATCTTACTTATCGTCTATTTAGATTCTTTATTATTATCTAGTAAGTAAGGTTTTTATAGTTAGTGAATATCTATACTAGGTACTTTACCCCTTCTAGATATACTCTCTATTATTATAATGCTTCTATAATAGCGAGTAATTCTTTATTATAGATATTATAGTTTAATTCTAGTTAAGTTATTTATCTTAAGTAGTAGGCTATAGGTCGTGATCGGCTATTCTCGTCTTTCTATATAAGATATATCTCTATTACCTCGTCTAACGTATCGATTTCGAGTATTAACTCCTTTTCTAGGTTAAATAATATAAGGATAGGTATAGAGGTTATCTATTCCTTTAGTCTCTTAAAGGCGTATTTATATTCTATAGGGCAATCTGCGAACCCAACGCCACGCAAGAACTTTCGGTTTGTCTGTATATTCTGGCACTAATCGATAGCTCTCGTCGCCCTCGTTACACCGATATCAATTATTTTACGATAATCCTAGTATTATTGTCAGAATGTGGCTCTGAAGTTGGGAGTCTCGAGCGCTAGTTAGGCTCCGCCAAGATATTCTCGGGGGCACTAAGCCCTTCTTAAATTTTGGACTATCGCACTAATTATCGCCGCGCATCTCTCCCACGCACTATTCCTAATTGAATTTCGGACCATCACACTAATTATATCCACGCAGTCTCCCTACACTACATTCTTCTCTACACTATAGATTACCTATCCTCTCACACGAACACTAATCATCTATTA